GAGAGAGAGAGAGAGAGAGAGAGAGAGAGAGAGAGAGAGAGAGAGAGAGAGAGAGATGTCCACAACAATACATGTGTCATGCCATTAGGTACGTAGGTAGGAGGCGTCGGCGGAAGCAGGAAGGGAGGGGGAGAAGAGCAGGAAAGAGGAGGACAAAATGTGATCAGCGACCACGGTCCGAAATAGGGGTCCGAACCCTGGATTTGTTTTCCCTTTGCCCACCCACCCACACACACACACACACACACACACACACACACAGGGAGAGAGAGATGTCCACAACAATACATGTGTCATGCATTCAGGAAATGACTACCTACCATAGCGTTGCGCGCAACCTCTTCGTCGTAAGTCGGCCCTTTGCCAGGAGCGAGAGAGACAGACCTGAAGGGCTCACAGCGCTTGCCTAATCTCCTCTCCCCTAGCACGGGGGCATTACACTCCGAGAGAAGCTGCTTGATAGGCCACGCGGGCAGTGGAATTGCATACTCGCCCCCATCGTCCTCCTTATCCACCTGATCCAGCTGGCGTTGCCTGCGCAGTTCCCGCCTTCTTACAGCTAATCGGTGTCTGCTGGAGTACATATCAACCACTCGCACTCGGTGGGCGCCAGATCCCCTCAACTGTACGGACGCGCGCATGGCGGCCTGAGCCGCGAGGGACAACATTCTTGTTGACGCACACACACTAACGAACGAATGAACCTCTTGTGTTGTTGGATAAGGGTAATACTACTAGTAATTAAAGACCAAAAATATGAATTGTGAAGGGAAGAAAAAAATATTGGCCGTTCTGTGCCTGGAGATTAACTGTAATTACGGCTATGTTCATTCATCAACAGTAATCATTAACAGGTACCCGGAGAAAGCGCTCTGATTTCACGCGCAGATGTCCGCGCCCAGCTAGCTGAGCTCCTTAGCTACCGTGTTCACACCCGAATACAAAGTACGGTCATTATTGCTGTATCTAGACTGAAAACTGCCCCAAATACAGCTAGAATGACCGTGCGTCGTATTCGGGTGAAGACCCGTAGTCAGGAGAGGTAGAACGGTGCACAGGAATACGAGACCGAGATGGAGCGGCGAGGAGGAAGAAGTGGGGCAGGAGGAGGAGGAGGAGGAGGAGGAGGAGGAGGAGGAGGAGGAGGAGGCGGCAAGTATTGCCTTTTCACATCTAACTTGCAATTGAAAAGATCAGAAGTATTGATTAGCGAACCCGTCGCTGATCTTGGTCATATACAGACCCGCAGTTACTTTTCACAGTTAACTTTAGTCTCTAACCTTATTCAATCTGCATTTTACCCCGCGGTTAACCAGCAGTTAATCCACGAAAAGTAACTACCAGTTCAGTTAACCCCGGAGGTTAACTGGCGGTTTTTCACCTGAGTTAACCGATACTCAACACCCCCCGGCTTCCCCCAGACCCCCCCCTGGAAATTCAACAGCGAGGAGCCGTCCGATCTTCGTGGGCACAATCTTTCTACTTCCATCTTTTGCTACAGTAGCTTACCGTTACATACCTAAATTGGAAAGAGATTCGGGTTAACGGAATCTAACGGTAGGCTGCTGTCCGATTCCGTTAACCCAAATTGGAAAGACATGCGGGTTAACAGGATCTAACGGTAGGCTGCTGTCCGATTCCGTTAACCCAAGAGATTTGGATTAACGGAATCTAACGGTAGACGACTGTCCGATTCCGTTAACCCAAGCTCTTACCGGTGCGTAACGACGGCAAGCAAACCCTTACTTCAAGCGCACTCATCATGCCCACAAATTCCGATCGCTATTTTTAAAATCCTCAAATTGAAAGTGAAAAAAAAAAGAAGACCTCTCTCTCTCTCTCTCTCTCTCTCTCTCTCTCTCTCTCTCTCTCTCTCTCTCTCTCTCTCTCTCTCTCNCTCTCTCTCTCTCTCTCTCTCTCTCTCTCTCTCTCTCTCTCTCTCTCTCTCTCTCACACACACTCAAGCCGTGGTTTATCCATTGTAGGTGTGTGCCATTCAGCCAACACACCGGAGCCTACCACACAATCATTATCCGCGTAGCCATTTGGAAGTGACACGTGGAACACTGCCGACAATCGGAGCTACCATGTGCAACTGACACGTGGCAATCGTGATCGATTTGGAAACGGACCACACCGCTGTCATAGGGACTCGCTCCATCACTCATCAAACGTACCAAACGACAATGAACCTTCCGCTAGAATCCGGAAAGATGCACGGCCGTAATCTTTGTCTTTTGTGCATGTGGTGGGGTGAGTGGTTGAGCGAGGCCCATAGTGATCGATGGGGTCTTCAAGCGTGTCAGAACCATGGAGAGCGCACTCCTCCGCACCCCTCTCTCCTCTCAAACACAGGCCATCATCACATCTCAACCGTTGCTTGTGCATCCCTAGATTTCCTACCACCCACGTAAGCCTCTCTCTCCCCATCTCTCCCGCCATTCCAATCTCCCTCCCTCAAACAACCCCCAACCCCTCCCCCTCCCCAACCCCCCATCCATCATTGTTCTATCACCCTTTATTGTTATAATAGGGGTCATCATGCGAATCCCATATCCTAAACCCCTAACCCTACATCCAAAAATAAATAAATAAATAAATAAGTAAATAAATAAATAAATAAAATCTAATCCTAAACCCTTAACCGTTAACCCTAAACCCTAAACCCTAAATCCTAAACCCAACTAGAAGGGTGGTGGTTACTTCTCTCCTGTGCGCTATGTTCTCATCGCCTTCGCCATTACAGACCCCCTCCCCCTTCCCCCCCCTTCCCCCCCTCCTCCCCCGTCCTCCGGATCGGACAGGAATAAAAGAAGGAGCTTCCATCTATCCACACGCTTCCATCTCACCGACCACTGCCATCTTTTTTTACCCGAATAGAACGCCTGGTTATTATATCTGTATTCGAGGCAACTTTCAGTCCACATGCACACAGTGATAACGACGGGGCGTTCTATTCGAATGAAGATGGTAGGATGTTAAACATCCAACTCTACACGGAACACTTACATCTATGGGCCTCGCTGCACTTATCTCTCGACATGCACAAAAGACAAAAATCATGGCGGTGCATCTTTCCATATTCTAGCGGAAGATTCACTCTCGTTTTGCACATTTCGAGAGTAGCGCAGCGACGGCCTACGTCACGCGACTCTGTCCAAGCACCAGGAAGCGAAGACAGACTGAGTAAGAAGAGAAGACGTTAATTAGTTCCACCCTCCCAAGAACAGTACTCTCTGGTTCGTTCGGACTTACCAGGGGCTAGGTCCCACTTGCACGAATTAACCGATATTGACCGTCGATAGCAAAGATCAACGGCCGAAATTATCTCCTAATTTGCGCAAGTGGGACCTTGCCCCAGGCGACGAATCGACCAGTAGGAAAGAGGAGAAAACTCAATCTATCTGTAGATTACTTTAACAAACGCAGCTGAAGCGGTCACAATCAATATGCGAGAGCGGCGCTCCTGAGTGTGAACAGAACATGACCCTTAATTAGTTCCATCGACCTTAATTAGTTCCATCATCAACTCTCGGCTACTTAGCGGCGCCGCGGTGTGCTCCTCATAAAACTTCTCCTCGTCCTCCTCCTTCGCTATCTACTCCTGCAGATGAAGGCCAGCAAGCGAGCGAGAGAGAGAGAGACAGAGAGAGGGAGAGAGAGCAGCTTTCTCTCCTTCCTCCAGATGAAAGAGAGTCTCTACCCTTCATCCCCAGAATACGTGTGGTCATTATTGCTGTATTTGGGGCAATTTAGAGTCTAGATACAGCAATGATGACCATGCGTTGTATTCCGGTGAGCACGGGAAGGTAAAACATCCTCTATCTATCGGCAACTTCCCAAAGCCTTTTACACCCGCGCTCTACCACTCACCAAATGTGGAAAAAGACAACAAAGAAATGGCGCGTGTATCTGGCCACTTTCTAGCTGAAGATACGCGCGCCATTTTATACGTTTTGGAGAGACAACAAAGAAATGGCGCGTGTATCTGGCCACCTTCTATCTGAAGATACGCGCGCCATTTTATACGTTTCGGAGATCACTGGAGCGAGGTCGTTTATCGTTTATCGGTGGCCAGTCCCTGTTCCGCTCTCCCTCCGTACACCAACACGCAGATGTGAAAAAGACACCAAATAAATGGCGCGTGTATCTGGCCACCTTCTAGGTGACTATACGCGCGCCATTTTACACATTTCGGAGAAGACTTGCAGCGAGGGCAGTTGTTTATCGTTTATCGGTGGCCATTCCCTGTTCCGCCCTCCCTCCGTACACCAACCACCGGGGCTAGGTCCCAATTACACTAATGAAGAGATATTGACCGTAGATAGCCTAGATCAACGGCCGAAATCTCCTAATCCGTGCAAGTGGGACCTTGCCCCCGGATACGGATATATATGTCCCCCATTTCCCACCATGGGCACACGCAGAGGCGGGAAACAGTGGGTGTCCCAAAGTACAACGATGATCCCGAAAAGAATACAGATGGAGAACCAGCGGCGCTCCGTTTGTCCCACCAGGAGGAACAGGAGGCTGTCCCCCATGAGGACCTTCCGGATAAGATGGG